CCCACATAGGGATCCAACCCATTCTCCTTTCGCATAGCGATACCACGCCACGTACGGATGAGGCACCAAGTCTGTTAGGCCCTCATCGAACATCACAAGCGTCGTGATTTGGCGGTAGGCGCGGTCTTCTCTGACATCTATCACGGTGAGCACTTCGGCTCTCATCTCCATGGGATTGCCAACGCGGGCTGGGGGAGATGCCATCCTACGGACCTGAAAAAAGGAGACAACGGGGGAAGAGTCAGGGAGACTCAGCAAGTGAAAACACTAATATCAAGTGAGGATATATCGATCGCCGTTAACATAAGTCGGCCCTTACCGCACCCGCATCGATATCAAATCAATAGCAAAGTTCAAACAAGAGAACATCGCGCATGGCCACATCATGTACACTTTACCAACCAAGGCTCGGTTCTATCTCAAAACAACATCAAACATGAAACATGAGCAAACTAAGAAAATGAACCAACTATGACCAACCAAACGACCGAGAAACGGTCCAAGCAAACTACATCACAACGCATTTCAACATCCTTTCCCGATATTAGGGAATTCACTTACACAACTGAATAAAACTAGAACTAATGCAAGAGGCGTGAATTTGGGTGGCCTCGGATGGTTTTCGGACGTGGCTTAAGGCTTGCGGTTCTTGGACGTGGCTTCTTAGATGGCCAAATACTAGAGGAACAAGGGCTGGACAGTAAGCTCTCCCTCTTTCTCTTTTCTTTCTCTCGGTAAAGGAACAAAAAGCAAGGAACAAAGTGGCCAGTTGGTGTTGTAGGCACTTGGGCGTGAAAAGGGAAAGAGAGATGATCAGATGTGTGTGAGATGATCAGATGTGTGTGTTTTGGGCGTGAGAGAGAGGGGTCTTCACGTGGGGTTCCCTTCCCCTATATGTAATGGCTTTTGCTTGGGTCATGGCTTAGGTCATCAAGGGATTAGGTCATGGCTTATGTCACTAAGAGATAAGATCATTTATGCTCATTTATGCACAAAGGCCAAAAGCCAAGATGAAAACTCTAAGCCATTTAATGGCTTTAATTGTGACCTTTCTCTTCCTTTCTCTCTTTCTCTTGGCTTCTCTCTCTCTCTCTTTTTGGCCGAATGGCCTTTCTCACGGCTCCCTTGGCTTGGCCAATTAATGGCCTTGCCTTGGGCTCCAATATTGGTGACCATGAGTCACCAAGGGCCTTAAAGTCCAACTAATTAATGTGGCTTGGTAACTAAGTTTTGACTTAGTCAAGCTTATCTTCTAGTTTCTTCCCAATAAAACAAACGTGGAGCCTATTTTGGCTTTCTAGAAATGTCGGTTCGGCTCATAATAACTTAGCTCCATTGGGTTGCACAATACCAACTAATCGACACTTAAGTCGCAAACCCGCATCATAATCAATTCTATGATTACCGAGGGTTTTCCGCGACAAAACACATATAATAATCTCGTTCAATCCGAAGTTCAACGCAGAAATGTCCTCAAATATCACCAAAAGACATCAAGTCGATATTTCAACGTTCTGATATAGAAAATGATAAATCTTTGAAATCTGACAAAACCGGACAGCTTTGCACTGTTCATGAAATCGGACTTGAAAACATAGTAAATGGACTTCAAAAAATTCCCAAATTTATATATGTTATAGAAAAAGAAGTTCTCAACAACTTTTTAAAGGAAACTTTTCCAAAATCAGCCCAGAAAAGCTTGTAGAAAATAAATAAAGTGTAAACATCACCAAAATACCCATTCTGGGCAGTTTTACACGGTCCGGAAATCAGGCCATCGTACCACTCATATCAAGTCCAAAAATTCTGAAATTAAAGTATGTAAAACGTCAAGATGTTTGGAGAAACTTTTAAGAAGGAAATGTTTGGAAATTCGGATCACAAAAGTCTCCCCAAAAATAACAAAACGAAGAGGTACAAAGGATCCAAAACTTGGTTTTCCAAAACAAGAGTAAAAATTTAGTTCCAACTGAAAAACTACCAAACTGAAACAATAGCCATTTCCCAGGGACTGAAATTGAGGATGTTACAACGAGATCTATACAATGTTGAATGTCCTTCATGGGTGGCAATCCAGGTGGCAATTCCTCTGGTACGACATAAGCAAACTCCTCAAGTATAGGTAGAACTTGAGTTGAAATTTCTGGACTATCAAGATTCTGCTCTATGACTACAATAGCAAAAAGCTCTGGGGCATTCAACGCTTCCTCCTGGAACTCTGATTTGGAAAGCAGATTACTTTTCCATTCTTTTCTCAATTCTAAAGGACCCAGAGTAATGGTTCGACCATCCTTCTTGAAGGTGTATGTATTTTTGAATCCGTCATACTGTGTTTTCCTGTCAAACTGCCAAGGTCTTCCTAACAGAATATGACAAGCATCCATTGGAACTATGTCACCCCACACTTCATCAGTATATTTCTTCCCAATCGAGAACTGCACTAAACACCTCTTGCTCACTTTTACCTCATTCCCCTTCCTAAGCCATGACAGCTTATATGGTTGAGGATGTTCGACAGTTTTCAACCCCAACTTTTCTACCATAGTGGTAGATATCACATTCTCGCAACTTCCCCCGTCAATTATCATACTACACACATTTCCCCCACTAGTGCACTTAGTATGAAAGATATTATGCCTGAGGCACGATTCATCATCTACCTCAGCAATATTTAAAACCCGACGCACAACTAAAGACTCACCAGAATCGGCATAGACAATGTCCTTCTGATCTAGATCCGCATCTTCTTGCCCTCCATCAAATTCATCCTAAGTTGGGTCTTCATCAAAAGTTGGATTATCTACAAGTGTCGAAAAATGTCGGTTCGGACAATCAGCAGCAAAATGCCCGAGTCCTTGACATTTGAAACATCGCTTGCCTATAGCTCCTCCCCCGCTAGATCCAGCACTACCCTGCTCTTCTTTTGTTGCAGTTTTTGAACCAGCGCCCTTAACTACCGCCGGGGCTGAAGAACTCCCTACTTTCCCTCGGGACTCTTTATCTGACCACTTGGAACTGCTGCCTGACCAGTTAGAACTGCTACTAGACCACTTAGACTTACTGCTCTTTCTTTTAAACTGCCTCTCCACCTTTAGGGCTAGTCTGCACACATCCTCATATGTCCAATATTGCTGTAATTGGACAACATCAGAGATCTCATATCGCAATCCTGCCAGATATTGAGCAATCGTCTGCTCGTCTTCCTCCGCCACATCATAACGCATCCGCAAGCGATCAAATTCCTCTGTAAATTCCTCAACTGTTTTATCACCTTGCTTGACGTTATGATACTCGATAAACGCCTCTTGCCTATAATGGGTAGGCAAAAAAAAATTTGCAACAACTTTTTCATCTTCTCCCAGCGATCCACCTTCGACTTCCCCTCTCTAGCGCGTTGCTTTTTCACGTGTTTCCACCAAATCGAAGCATGTTTTCGCAACCTAATAGCCACTAACTTCACTTTTTGCCCCTCAGTTAGGTCTTTAAGATCAAAAATCTGTTCTACCATATGTAACCAATCAATAAACTCGTCAGGATGAGCCTTACCATTAAACTCGGGAATCTCGATCTTCATCCCGAAATTTTGAGAAGAGTGCTAATTTCCAGGTCGTACTCCTCGATTCCGCCTCTGGTTCAGAACCCCGAAAGGGTTTACGTCCTCCTCTTCATCATCGGATGGATCCTCAGATTATGCTTCTTCTTCGGATTGAGCGTCAAGCCCTGCCTCCGCAAAACGTCGCTCTAAATCCTGGATTCGCCTTCTCTGTTCCTGAATTTCTATATCTCGCAGGTCTCTCAGACGCGGCTGTTCATCTGCATCAGGAACGACTCCACGCCCCCGGCCTCCACGAGCACGCTGTCTTTGACCACCTCGATTCTGATTAGCCATTGATTCAGATAAGCTATGCTCTGATACCAATTGATGCCGAAGCGCGAAAGAAATTAGACTAAACAGAAGAATCGAAAGATAACGAGGAACAAACTGTTCTCTCAATCAAATAACAATCAAAATATCCAAAGTCTGCTCAAACGAAACCCTAAAACAAGCTTATATATCCCCAAACCTAACCCTACTATGATTATTAAACATCAAAATGCAAAATTACGAAACTACCCTTTACTAAATTAACCCATAAAAAATACTAAAATAATAGAAAAACCCATCTAAACGGCCCCGAATCGCGAAAATCCATCGTTAATCACGGCTAACGGCCGTGAGTATTACCAGCACGCCGTTTCGCTTCAGCCGACCAAATTTGAACTCAATCCGAGATCGTTGACTTCAAGCCCGTCGGTTCGTCTAATCGCATAACGGATCCACCGGTCCCCCTAGGTGCATCAGCTTGACCCTGTGGACGGAGAGTGGACTCTTACAAAAGCTGATTGGTGATGTATCAAGGAAAGTGGCTGTCCTAAAGCGGCCTCTTAAAATAATTTGCATGAGAAGAATTTTGAGGGAAAGTTGATCGTTTATTATGACTGGGTTGCTAGATTTTATTGACGTGACCTACCACCGAATGTTCTCCATCTTGAGTGGTCCAATTTTGAGTGTTCCTTTTTTTTTTTGGAGGAGGGGGGACTTATCCACGTGGAACGAAGCCAGGCAATTACAAAAGTCACTTTGGGCCAACCGAGAGGAGGTTGAATCCAGGTTGGGATTGGAAAAAGAAAAGAGGAAAGGATTCCCCTCAACGAGCACTGTTTAGTGGGAATGAGGGTAAGATGAAAGTTCTCTTTCCTTTTGCCCTTACATAGTGGTAGTGGATTTGCTTTTGACCAACTTTGTGTTTTTTAGCCAATACATATTTCGTTAAACGCGTCATTCCCACTGTTGCATGCATTATCTTGCAAAATATTTATCCACTCTGCTTCCTCGTTTTGGGCAAAATGCAGACAAAAAAAGAAGACACAGAAATCTACCCACTAGAGTTGAGGCATCCTTGGACCAGGCACTGTCTATAAGTATCGCAAGTCTCATCAACATTAATCACAACCAAATCATGGGTTCTTCCTTTATCTTTGACAAGTCTCTGTTCAATTATCACCCGCCTTCTTTAGGAGCCGGCTTCTTCTTCTTGTTCTTTGTCAGCTTTGCTTCTTCCACTCCTCCAACATTCACTGCTGCTGCCAACAATGAGAAACAAGTGGAGGCTCTCCTGGCATGGAAATCTAGCCTCGAAGACCGTAGCCAATCCCAACTGTCTTCGTGGCACGGTAACAATTCTTGCAACTTTGTTGGAGTCACTTGCGATGACTATGGATCCATTACCCATCTTAATCTTTCCTATCTCGGTTTGAGAGGAACTTTAGATGGCCTCAACTTCTCATGCCTAACCAATTTGCTCAGTCTTGACTTTAGCAACAACTGGTTATATGGTTCAATTCCGTCGAGTATTGGTAGCCTTTCCAAACTCAACTATCTTGATTTATGTAAGAATGAACCCTATGGGAACATTCCTCCAAGCACTGGCAAGCTAAAAAATCTTCACAGCTTGTACCTATGTGGAAATTATCTTAGTGGACATATCTCTCTCGAGATAGGTGACCTGAAGAGTTTGAAGATTCTTTACTTATGGGGAAACAGACTTTCAGGACCTATACCTTCAGAAATTGGGAGACTGACTTCCATTCTTGAACTTCTCCTATCGATTAACAATCTTAGCGGCTCTATCCCTCCTTCTATTGGAAACTTGACAAGTTTATCAATTCTTTTCGTTTTCAAAAATGAAATTTCCAGCCTAATCCCTCGAGAAATAGGAAATTTGATATCTCTCAGTGAATTAGAATTGGCTGAACATAATTTGGTCGGTCCAATCCCTACTTCTCTTGGAAATTTAGGCAACTTATCGAAATTGAGCATTTCACAAAGCAATCTTGTTGGTCCCATTCCGCAAGAGATAGGTGAATTGAGGAATTTGGAGGTTCTTTATTTGTGGGGAAATGCACTTTCTGAATCCATACCTTCAAAAATAGGGAACCTCGCATTTCTTACTAAATTAGATTTAGCTGTAAATGATTTGGTTGGTCCAATCCCATCATCTATCCAGAATTTAAGCAATCTAAATCTCTTACACATTTACTGGAATCATCTTTCAGACCCAATTCCTGCAGAGATAGGGAAATTGGTGTCTCTTAGACTATTAGATTTGTCCGATAACAGTCTGAGCGGTCAATCCCTTCCTCAATTGGAAGCCTAACCAATTTAACCATATTACGCCTCAGATACAACGACTTTTCTGGTTCCTTGCCTCCTGAAGTTAATCAAATTACTCGTTTGAGTGCTTTTGATTTGTCTTACAATGAACTCGAAGGGCAATTGCCAGATGAAATATGCTAGGGAAACTATTGCAAAATTTCAGCGTCATAAACAATCATTTCACGGGGCTCATTCCGAAAAGCTTGAGGAACTGTAGTGCATTAATAAGAGTGAGGCTTGACGGGAACCAACTTACGGGAAATATAACGGAAGCTTTCGGGATATATCCACAGCTAAAATTCATGGACTTGAGCCACAATTATTTGTACGGTGAGCTTTCATGGAAATGGGTGAGTTGTCATAATTTGACAAGCTTAAGAATATCCAACAATAACATTTCTGGCGAGATACCCTCGGTATTTGGAAGGATCACTCAGTTACAAGCACTGGACTTGTCTACGAATAATTTGAGCGGAGTGATTCCAAGGGAGTTGGCAAGCTTGCGGTTTTTGCTATATCTGATCCTGAACAATAATCGGATTACAGGTAATATTCCAAATGAAATAGGACTCTTATCCGAACTGGAACATCTCGACCTAGCATCAAACAATTTCAGCGGATCGATCCCAGCGCAACTCGTTCAATGCATGAACTTGTTGAGCTTGAACTTGAGCAAAAATAAACTCGAGGGAAGCATTCCTTCCGAGATAGGAAACATGCGATTCCTAGAAGTTCTTGATTTGTGTCAGAATCTGTTGATCGGAAGACTCCCACAAGAGCTAGGAAAGCTGAGAGTCCTCAAAACCATGAATGTCTCCCACAATAGCTTGTTTGGTTTCATCCCACAGACTTTTAGTGATATGTTAGCATTAACTATTGTCGATGTGTCCTACAACAACCTAGAAGGTCCTCTCCCAAATGTCAAAGCTTTTAATGAAGCGATTCGGCACAACAAGAGACTCTGTGGGAATGTTGTTGGATTACAGAAATGCAACTCTCTGATGAGCAAGAAAGGTAATGGAGACGGTGGACGTGGAACTATTGCTATCCTCGTTTTCTCATTCTCAGGATTTCTGATTCTTGCTTCCGTCGTGACCATTCTCTTGATCTTTGTACTTCGTCAAAGAAAGAATATCAAGAGAGAGAACATTGGACGATCGGATGATCTAGACTTTTTGCGCATTTTGAATTTTGATGGCAAAGCTTTCTACGAGCAAATCCTGAAGGCAACAGACGGCTTTGACTCCAAGTTCTATATGGGAGAAGGAGCACGCGGAATTGTTTATAAAGCTGAACTACCGACAGGTCAAATTGTTGCTGTTAAGAAAATTTCTTCATCCCCTGAAGAGGAGTTCCTCGACTTCATATCTTTCAAGAGGGAGATTCAAGCCTTATCAAATATGCGCCATTGCCACATCGTCAAATTTTATGGGTTTTGCTCTCACGCGCAACATTCTTTTATGGTGTATGAGTACATCGAAAGAGGAAGCTTGAGAACAATTTTGAATGATGATGAGAAAGCATCAGAGTTTGCCTGGGACAAAAGGGTAAACATGATTCGAGGATTGGCGAATCCATTGTCCTATATGCATCACGATTGTTTTCCTCCGTGGATACATCAAGACTTGACTAGTAACAATGTTCTATTGGATGCCGATTATGAGGCTCGGGTTTCGGATTTTGGTACCGCAAGACTATTGAGGTCAGAATCATTTGATTGGACTGCAATAGCCGACTCTATCGGTTACATCGCTCCAGGTACTTATATCCTTTAGGATTTTTTTTTCCAATGACAATTAGGATCAAGAAAGGCATTATAATTGATCTGGTAGTTTAAGGATACTAAGTTGGTGCAATTGAAATGATCTCTGCTCGTAATTTTTTACCTATGCCCACCACATGAAGAGGTTATGAACAAGTTTTATATTCTTCACTTGCAGAGCTAGCTTATTCTACAATTCCAACTGAAAAATCCGATGTGTATAGCTTTGGAGTCATCGCATTAGAGACAATAATGGGAAAGCATCCGGGAGATCCCGTCTTTTGGGAATGTGCATCATCAGCCTGAGTCACCGGCATTGTTGAAGGATGTGCTAGATCAACGTCTCTCACCTTCTAGGATTCGACTTCGAGATGCGGAAGATGTGGTCTCTATTGCACGGCTAGCATTTGGGTGTCTGCATGCCAATCTGCGGCTTCGGCCTACCATGAGACAAGTTTCGCGGGAGCTCCGAGCTCAAGTACTGCTGGAAATGCCATTCTCTGCAGTCAGCTTGGAGCAACTTCGTGATCCCAATGGCAGGAAATTTCGAGCATCACAAGGGCATTGTAAGTTTTGAAGTTAGCTTTTCATGTGCACTATATGTCTGTTTGGTCTGTAAGTCGCCAGCAAAAGATTTTGCGGGTTCATCAGAATTATAATAGCCAATCTCATTCGACAGTTTTGATTATTTTCTTAGTTCTTAACAATCACACCATGTGAATTATTTTCACTGCAGAGCCTACTTACCTATGAACATTACTGGAGTGCTGCATGTCGGTGATGGTGCTTTGGAGTAGGGGCACCAGAAATCATTATGGGAATGCTTCTGTGGAGATCTCATTTCACTTTTATTTCCAGCTTGTTGCATTGCAATAAATAAAGAATTTGCAAAATGCATTAGATCAACATTGTTCGATGTAGTTTTCCATTGCTAAAGGGATAATGACACTACTATTTTTGAATTTCCGTCCAGTGTGCAACGTCATTCCCAAACTTTTAGTGAATCAATTAAGTCCCTCGACTTTTGTACGATGCATAATGTAATTCCCGAACTTTCGATATAGTTCTGTTAGATCTCTATGCTATTTTAGTAAGCTGACACGGGACACTGATTCGATAAAACTTACATTATGTGGAGAGTAGCAAGGATGATAACAACCGGAAACTAATTTAACCATTTAATGGATTGCGAAAATGGAGAGTGACAAGTCTCATCAAAATTTTAGAAATTCAATATTGAATGTACATGTGAAGAGTGACGTCATTATCCCTCGTGAGAATAACAATTACTTGCTTGTAAGCTAATCCACAGTTAGTTTTATTTTCCTTCATCTATGGTTAAGGGAAACTTTTCCAATCATGTCTTCGACTGATATGTTACAGGTTATGGACGTCATCAATACAAAACTTATTTAAACAAAAATCTGAGTGATGCCCATAATGTACAACCTATTAACACTCCTTTTCGTTTTAGAATATTTTTGTTTCCTAGTGCATGCACAAAAATGATTTATGTAAAAGCTTTCAAAGGAAATTGTTGAGGATTATTTAATTAATCAAAAGTTTTTGAGACGTATAATATGTAGGGTTAATATCACATAAAATCTCAAACTAGTACACTTGTAACAAATTTACCCCAAACCAATATTTTGACCACTAAAAATTCCAAATTGGTACATCTATGACAATTTTACCCTCGATTTGTTTTCATTGAATTTTACCGTTAAATTTCTGAGTTGGATGACACGTGGCAGTTGACGAGTGTACTGGTTTGGAATTTTACCCTTCGTTTGTCACAGGTGTACCAGTTTGTGATTTTTCGTAATATTAATCAAATTTAATATAAGGTAAATTTGTCACAAATGTACTAGTTTGGGGGTTTTTTATAATGAAAAAATTAGTTTAAGGTAAATTTGTCACACGTGTACTAAAAAAATTAGTTTTAGTTAAATTTGTCACAGGGGTACAAAAAAATTTAGTTTGAGTTAAATTTGCCATAGGTGTACCAGTTTGGGGTTTTTCGTGATATTAACCCTAATATGTAAAATGTTAAATAGTGTCCGCAGTATACTCGTTAGGAGTTACTAATTGTGTTTTGAAAAAATAAACATTTTTATTTGAAGTGGGTCGCTTTCTTGAAACATGTCTTTTTCAAATTTCAAAATATTCTCATTAGTTTTTACTACTTTTAGTGGTTTTGACTAGTGCCCCAAGAAAATTTGTTAACAAGACTCTAATAACAAAGATTAGTAAAGTAAAAAAGTCATTGCGACCCTCTAGAGTTGAGATATCCTCAGTGGGTTTGACAGATTGCTAGGCAAGGGCAAATAATCCTCTTACGAGATGGTGCTTTTGCTTAAAACGGGCTCTTCCAAGCTCTGTCGATTGCAACTTAACAATTGGTTTTACTTTATCAGTCGCCACTAATTTATTATAAGCCAAAATGAAGGCAAGTATGACTTGGGAGTCCGTCTTACTTCCTCAAATCATAGATTCATGGATACAGAGCTAAATGTGTAACGCCCAATTTGGTACTTTTTTTTTTTTTTTGAAAACGATTCATGCAGTCTTTATTTTTTGTCCCTTTTATCCCTTAAGATATGAAAGACAAGTAATCATGCGTCATTCAAACAATCATATAGAATCTAACAATATCAAAGCAAATAAAGTGCCGTAAAGAAAAGAATTCGAAGCATACCGGGCAAAATTAAACATGGCATTGTCGTTAAGCCCCGGGACCGGATCCCATGAGCCATGTATATATTTAAATGTGTAACCTACCTAGTCTAATGAATGCAAATTCCCAAACTAGATGATAACAATTAGATTTTAAAAAAATAGAATGAAATTAAGCTTAAATTTAACTAAGTCTAATGATGCAAATTTATCTAAATGCATTTCCAATATTTTTATTTTCCTTTTCCATCTTTTTTTTATCCCTGTCATTTTCCTTCATGAATAACTTAAGGCCTAAACTAGACTAAATACACACTGCGGCAACAAACGAGCTACGACGGAACAAGTGGGCCTAAATATGATGCAAACATAGAATATGTCGTGAGAAATATGCAAACATATAGAGGGGACGCGTCAGGACCATTTAAGGACCTTTATAAGGCCAAAATGAGACCGAAACTGGTTGTCCAACCTTACATGTGGTCTGGACAGCGGGCTTTGCGCTTAATTTTGCACACTAAACGGCTCCGACGAACATCCAAAACGTCCCGACACATACCCGA